GAGGAAACAGTAACTTCTTCTCCTGGAGATCATCTTTTATGATCACATTATCTATCGATCCGAGAGATTTAGCAATGAAAAAAACACGTGAGGATTTCTCTTTCTTTGGCACTTCGTTACAGTTTTTCTTGAGCTGCCTACAGGTTTACACAGAATCATACATTCCATTTACTTGCCACTGCTAAGTTTTCCAGGCACTCGCAATTCCCTGAAAAGGTTATTGTATTTGTAGGGTCCTATCCCACAACTAACTGTGTTTGAATTGGCCACAGAATATGCAAGCACTGATATATATCCACTGAGAAATATATTCAGTGACATTCTCCACTGATACATCCTACAGATCCTCAGCTCTCTGTCTTACTTTGATCTCAAATTCCTTCCTAAGCAATGATTATGTGAGTTTTCTCACATTTATCTTTTTCCTGCTGGCCCACTAGTTTGCTGGGACTCGCAGCCCTCCCACTCCTTCAGATTCCTCAGATCCTATCTTTTTTTCTTCTGTTATAATTGTCTGTACTTCTACATCCCACTGAGAGGTTATAAGCCTTTATTGAAGTCTCTTCCTCCATTTCCAAGGTAGGGAAAATATCTTAAGCTTTTCCCCATGGGAAGCCCCAGACTGGCCTCGCTATAGAGACAGTGGAGAAAATGAGTCTGCAGCAGTCTGACTGCCTGTTTCAAACCCATCAATACTCACAAATGGCTTCATACCACACTCGCCCCACAGACTTCATGAGATAGCTCCACATGTATAGGACCAACTAAGAGAGCTCTGCGAGCCACAGTCAGAGCAAACTGCTCCTCCCCTGATCACCACCCACCTACACCCACAGGACAAACTTTGGTACGTGTCCACTGAGCGAAGAAGGGGAGAGAACCATTCTGACTGAAACATTGCCTTCCCCCCAAGAGAACAGGCACACCTCGTTATTCAACACAACATGCACTTCTCCACTGCATACACCTGCTGTACATGACCAGAAAGCTTCCTACATAGATCCCTTGGCTTCTTGTTCATTTTCCACAATGTCTACTTCAGTGATAATTTTGCTTACCAGCCATAAGGGAACAGCCCAATTAGGGAAAGTGTGGATTTTCAGCTTTCAGATATATTCTTGGGTTTAAATAAGTATTAGCCTTTGTCTTTCTAAATTGAGCAGAGTCTTTTTTTCATTGGAATATTTGAAATGGAGCAGTTCTGCTGCCAGCCTCGGTATTTTAAGGCTCTCAGGAGTCAAGGCATTTAAGCTTTTTTTTTTAAAACATAGTTACAAAAAATATTTACTGAAGTACTGTGTTTTCATAGTTAATCTTATGAAATTCACAGACTTGGAGGTAAAATATATTTTTCACAGTTCTATGCTGTTTTCTTAGTTCTATTTTGATCTTTCTGATAGCCTGCCCGGGTAGTAACTAGAAAACAAAAGCTGATAAATCAGAAATTGCAATTACTGCTGAGATGAGGAAAGCTTTAAAGTCTGATTTTGAGCAGAAACAATGTTTTTCTTTTTCCTTTTGACTACAGTAGCAGTATGCATTCTTAGCAGTAAAATGCCAGCCAGGTTTCAAAAAGTCACATGCCACATTGCAATTTGTAAAAAGAGGTGTTTCTTGAGCATTCTTAAGGCCAAAATTGGACAGAGATTAAAAGTAAAGTCCATCACTCCAGTGACAGGAGTTTCAAATGCCCCTGGGGGTACAATCTTCGCAGCAGATATTTAGAAAAGAACTGTAAACTCAGCTCCCATTAGTATACCTGCAGTGTCAATCAGCAAAGTATGCCTTCCAAGTAGGGTAAAGGAATCTTGTGCAGAAGTAAAGTATGTGTTTCACATAATATTTGTTTTATAAAAAAAGAAGTCCATGTAGAGAGAGAGTTTTAACAAAATCCATTAAACCAAGAAACAGGTTTTGTTTTCTGCTTTCTGGAAGAGAGAGCCTTGAGAGCCCCCTTTCTTCTCAAAGAGCCAGTTTAGGTTGGATTTCTACCCACATTATCTCAAAAGAGATTGGCAAGTAATCACTCCAGTGAAAGAGAACTGCAAATCTCTCACCCGTTTGTCCTCCCTCAGAGCAACCCAGCCTGTAGAACGTTTTGAAATCTGGTCAACCAGAGCCCAGAGGATGTCTGGCCTTTCACAGTGCAAGCATTACTGTGCAACCTCGTTTTAAGAAGGCTGAGGAGGAGAAAAAAACATCTTTCCTGCAAAGTGGCAGCCTCTGACAGAGGAACTGAGTAGACAACAGGAGACAACAAAGTCTTAAGCCACAAAGGTGGAATGTGAAAAGGACGGTAAATCAGAGACAGCTCATGCTCAGAAAAGGAAGCTGAGGTTTCTTGATTCAGGAACATGCTCTGAGATTTAGAAAACTACACTCTTTGTCTGGAAATGAACAGCATCATCTTTTATTTTATGGCATGTCTGGAGAGGATACTGCTCCCAGGAGGTGGGAGCCACCTTCTCCTTTTAAAAGACACCAGTTGTTGTCCTGGTGTAAATCTACAGCATTAGGGGTCTTAGTGTTCCTGATTTGGAAGTGGGTATCTCAAGTGTGACCTCCAATGAGGTGACAAAGCCCCAGAACACATACCTCTGTGTTTAGTTATCCCTTAGACAGATCCATGCCCAATGCATCGGCCTCTGGAGCACCAGCATATCTCAATGTGCTTCTGTGTCTATTTTTGGAGTCCAGATCTGAATATGGCCTTTTGTACCTCAGCAATATCATTTTGCTGATGAGATAAGAATATTTTTATTCTCTGCCTTTTTTACTTAAATGTCAGCCCTTTATATCAGCAGCATTCCTCCCTGGGTGCATAAATCTGATGGAGCATCAAGGGGGATGGAGTATGGGAGATCTAAGCACAGTAAAACTGGCACTAAAATTATATGCCCTGTGTACAAATGTATTCTTAATTGCTATTGTCAGAATACAATCTTCAATGAACTTTTTCCCTGTTGCTGTATACTAGCTTTAATGTAAAAAGCTTTTGACTGTTTAAATGACGTGACTAAGAAGAACATTTCTCCCACTAAGAAATTTAGAATATGGAGCAGAATGGGATAAGATGAATATTCATAAACTCATGGAGGCAACTTTCTGCACACACAGATTAAATCATAAAAAATGCCACTGCCTGCAGTATCACTGCCTAGTCATAACTGCACTATTTATAATGGGATATTAAGCTTTAGTTATGTTACTGTCTCAGGCTACATAAACCACTAGGAAAGGAGAGAATAAATAAGGTTCTTGCATATTACTTAGTTGTAGCAAACAGGAGGCTGCACTACTCCCAGTTTTGCTTTGCAAGGAAATTCCACAGTTGAGAGGTGGTGGGATGGGTTGCGGGGAAACAGGACTCCAACTAGCATTAATCAGTGTGGCCCCACTGGGCCGTTACTCAGCATGGGAATCAGTAGGGTAAAGCCTCAGCCTTGGTAAATTCACAGACCTCTGCTGAAATATGTAGGTCACACAGTGTGAATCATAGAATCATAGAATGGTTTGAGTTGGAAGGGACCTTAAGAATCATCTGGTTCCAACTCCCCTGCCATGGGCAGGGACACATCTCAATAGACCAGGTTTCTCAAAGCCCCATCCGACCTGGCCTTGAACACTTCCAGGGATGAGGCATCCACAGCTTTCCTGGGTAACATGTTCAGTGCCTCACCACGCTCTCCGTAAAGAATTTCTTTCTAATATCTAATCTAAATCTACTCTCAGTTTGAAACTGTTACTCCTTGTCCTGTCAGTAGACTCCCTGATAAAGAGTCCCTCCTTTTCTCTCTTGTAGGCACCCTTTAAGTACTGGAAGGCTGCTATTAGTTGTCCCTAGAGCCTTCTCTTCTCCAGGCTGAACAACCCTGTCTCTCTCAGCCTGGCCTCACAGAGGAGGTGCTCTGCCCCCCAATCATCTTTGTGGCCCTCCTCTGGACATGTTCCAACCGGTCCATGTCCTTCTTAAGTTGGGGGCCCCAAAGTTAAATGCAGCACTACAGGTGGGGTCTCACCAGAGCAGAGTAGAGGGGGCAAATCACCTCCTTCAACCTGCTGGCCACAATTCTTTTGATGCAGCCCAGGATGTGATTGGTGTTCTGGGCTGGCACACATTGCTCATGTTCAGTTTTTCATCCACCACCATCCCCAAAGTTCTCTGCAGGGCTGCTCTCAATCCACTCATCCACTTGTAATGCACATAAACTTGAGCAGGTGACATTGATAAATGACCTTACAGTGCTGATGTAGAAATTGACTTCTCCTAAAGTCAAAGATAGTTCTGGTAGTAACATCCACCTTGAATGAATTGAATCTTTCACTTCCTCCGTGCCTAGAAGAGCCTGTTAGGTTAGAATTTCCCAAAATCCTGCAGAATGCATTGCCTCTCTCCCACCACCCTGACCTTCCAACAGCTCCTTATAGTAAAATAACTGAAGTAAGAACAGAACCTGGTTCTACCTACAGCATAACACAGATATTGTTGCTCATGGTGAATGCTTTATGAAGAGATTCAAAAGTTTTGTAACTCCTGAGCCTGGTCAGGCATCTTCTGCCTGGAATCCTTGACCTCACCACTCGCTCAGAGCTATACTTCAGGTGATCAAAGAGTAAGACTTTCCCATCCAATAACTTTCTTACATTAGTAACTGAATTACCAGAAATCCTTTTTTTTTTTTGTTTTAATATCCATTTTAAAAGATGAGGAGCCTTGGAGCAAATGAATGGATTGAGCTACAGGTCTTGCACAGGCATATAAAACTTAGATAAGTTAAAACTGTTTTTAAAAAAGTGATTTTTTTTTCCTTAGGCAATACTGTTATGTCCACCTTCTAATCTTTAATTGGATGTCACAACACTTGATAACTTGGCTCACTATAAAGTAATTACACCATTTGACATGGGGAAGGACAAGCTGAGGAAGTTGGAGTAATTTGATGCTAAAATACACTGTACATTAAGATATATGATGTTGGTTGTTACAAGGACATACTTACCGTGGTCCAACCGACCTGCTGACCCAGGTCTGTAAAATACAGAGTAATGATGGAGGAAACGGCAAGGCTTTGAATGTTAATAGAATCCTTCAAATAGGGCCCATCTGTAATGATAAAAAGAAAGAGGAGATGGCATGAAAAACAGGCACCCTCTCAGAGGCTCAGCATAACATGTAGGCTGCCCTGCTAATGGCCAAGATGTAGGCCCAACTTATATTCTGATTTATTTTGGCAACTTGGTACTTATTCTCCAGGTTAGCAACTTAGAGCATTCCTATGAGAGTTATTCTGTGTTCATTTTAACAAAAGCATTAGGCTGACATGACACTGGGCAGGACTGCGTAGCAATTGTTACGATGCTATCCCTGTTAATTTACACTGTTAGAGACATGCCATGCAATCACATGGACAATTTCATAGAGCACTTTTTGTTTTATCTTGCAAGACTAATGGGAAAGTCAATGTTATGCAGTGTCTCCCTCACTGATATCTTTTGCCTGAAGTGTTTGCATTCTCAGGCTATTTTACGACAAGTGACATCATCATGATGCACACAGATTCTTGGGCAAAGGCCCTCAGCCCAAGACTTCTTTGTAAACTGTCTGACCTAGGAAGACTGTGTGTATCTGAGCATTACATTACTTTTCACAGTATTCTGAGGCATCTAATTCCAGTCCTGATGGACCTGGAGTTCTCTCTGATTTTTACAGAAGCAGTGAGATGGATATTAGGAAACCCCAGCAGCTACTGGCATGAGGTGTCCCCATTACTGCAACAGTTTTCCTCTTTATGTATTGCGTCTCCCTTTCAACATGTGATTGTTGACTGTTAAGCCACTGAATGTGCTAAATTCCCCTAGCTGCTGAGCCTTCATTTTCTAGGGCTCTGCAATACTATATGTCTGCAGACCAAGTGCCATACAGCTTGTGGCAGCTTCATCTCCCATTGCCATGTCCACCAAGAACTGGTGTACTGGCACAAAAAAAAAGAGGCTGCCCTCTGCAGCCAGTTGCATCTTCTGACAAAGCTGTGGGCAAGTGTTAACATGGATAACACAGTGAGTGAGTGAAGTGAGTGAATGGTTTTAAAACTGCCTTGACTTCATTATTTGATCATATACCATGTTCTGAAACATTTTTCCTGAGTGGTTATGAAAACTATTAGATGCCTTTATCAATGAGGAAGCTAATAAATTAATCAATGATATCAATTAACAAAAAAGTGCTAAGAGATCACCTAATAATATGTATAGAGACAGCAATGCTGTTAGGAGAAGAATTTGCCAAAGGATTAATAATATGTTAGGTAGCTTCATTCAACCATACGAATACTTACTGCGCTCTAGTTGCAGGCCAACACGGGAAGGATACCACTGGGGGCCTGTTCAAATCACAAAGCATGCCCATTAGTATTCTAACTATTCATATTCTTTTTAGCCGATAGCTACAAATGTGGGATTTTTTTTAAAAAAAAAACACCTCTTGTTTGGTGGTCTCACCTATACAAGGAGAGTACAAGAGAGCTAGGACGAGCACACAACACACACATTAGAGCAGAAATCCCTTCTCCCCACTTGAGTGTTGGAAGGGCCAATCTCAATGCTGAATACTCCACCAGTGCACAAAAAATGGGCGTGTGCTTGCACCACTGAAAAGCACAAAGAGGATCCTGCTTATTATTGTATTTGCCAAAACTCCGTACTAAATGTCTTAGTCTTGCCCCTCCCTCCAAGGCAATGCTTGTTCTACAGTGTGGTCTATAGGGATCAGTATTTCCCATTCAGAAATATAAAACCTGACTAGGGATGTGAAGCTAGCACTGGTTCTTAATCACAGGTTAATCAGGCAAATAGAGACAGAAAAAGTAGAGGCACCCCGTTAGGTAATACTGAGTTACATATGATTTCCATAAATCCCATCAATTTAAGGACATTCCCTAGACACAGGTTTTTTTAATTCTCTAGTTTAAATGTTGCTTCTAAATGTACAGCAGCAGTTGACAGTTGTTATTAGGTGCCCTTCGATGATTTTGGACAGAGACCCATCAATTTGTTCAAACAAGTACAGGTCTCCAGCTCCACTTGTTTCTCTCAGCATCAGGGCAAGTAGGTAATTGCCACAGAAAGACTGTTGAAGGGATCATGGCTGTTCAGATTGTTAACTCGTCCAACTCTTTGTAGTGCCTGAATGTACAAGGCTGTGCTCCTACAGCTATGCTGGCTGAACAGACAACATAAGTACTCCTCCTTTGCATCAGAGACACGTAACTTCACTTAATACACACACAAACTTTGGTTTGCTGTTTAAAGTTTTTAGGGCTGACCTGGCACATTTTAGGGCTGAGCTGGAGCAGCCTGGGAAGACTTTACATAGCCTGTGGTGTTGACTGAGATTTGAGGGCAGGAAAGTCTGACAGAGGGAACACCTGCGCTATCACTACCCCCAGCCCTTTCTACCACATTTGTCAAAGGAAATAAACCCTGAGCAGTCTTGTAGGATGTGAAAGTTGTCTCTGCTCTGAGCAGGAACCTGGACCAGAAGAGCTCCAGAGACTGCTTCTACCTTCACTGTGATGATCAGGATGATCAGGAGAGCTTGATCACCCCACTTGCTGCCAGCTGGAGGGGAAGGGGAGCTGTGCAGTGGCACCCAGAACACTCATTCAGAAAACACTTGATCTGAGTTTTGTAGGCAAGAACAGGCAGAAGATGAACCCATGAACCAGAGCTAATAGCAGGAGGTGAGACATCCATCAAGTAAGTTGCAAAGATTTTTTTCAAGGAACCACAACAATCCATGGCTATTAAAGATAACAAAAGGAAGATAGAGAAAGAGCAGCTGTCTGACTTGTCAAAGAAGATGTGATTTGCTCCAGGACAGCAGATATCAATAGTTATTTGGGAGCCTGAAATGCAATGTACTTGAGTTAAATTGGAATCTTCCCCTCTTCCCCCCCTCATATTACAGTATGTTTCAATAAAAGCCAATTTACCTGATCCTGTGGCAATGCGCTTTTAGGTATGGCTCATAATCCTCACAAGGGCAAACAGAGGTTGTGCGGTTAAGCACGTCATCTCACATTTCCAGTCCTTTAGCCTCAGTGCACCATTATGTTCAAACATACTCAGAGATTTAGACAGATGGAAGTGTGCTTCTGCTGCTGCTTGTCTGCAGTGACCTTGTTATCACATCACTGTGTCTCTCAGGTTTCCAGACCATCCTTGGGATGCTGTGTGTATTTTGCTGGAGAGCCATGGAATGAGCTGTTGGGATGTTCCTTCCCAGCTGTTAATATTGCTGGGGGGCCACTAGCTAATGTCAAATGGAAACACTATGCAAAGGGAGCAGGAGACAAAGTCCAAACATCTCTATCTGTTTGTTGTTTTTAGTCTGACCGTGAAAGTTTCACGCTTTCAATCCTTACTGGCAGCAGATTTTAGCAAGGCTGTTGCCAAGTTTTAACTACCCAGGGTGCTGCAAAACTCCAATGTTGCTTTCAGGAGAGAAGTGTGAACCCACTTTATTACTCTTCAGAAGGTCTCAGAGGTCTGGTTGGTCTGCTCTGCCAGCCTGATGAGGCTCATTTTGGAGAGAGAAGACCCCCCCAATTTCCTAGGCATCAGAGATTTGCCTGCTTACCACTTGGTACCAATCAGCCAAGGAGACTCTGGCCCCCCACTTGTTCACCATTCACTCGCCTTCTCCCTGTGACTGTTTTCTGTGGGGATACTCCAGACTTCTCAGTAGGACAGCTCTGGATTTCTATTTGACAGTGCAGGAAGCCATTTCAATCCAGTCTGGCTCTCGCTAACAGGTTTGTATAATTCCTATAGGAATAGAGCTCCCCTTTCTTTTAATAGTGAAAAGAAGCTACTAGCAATGATTAATTATCACCTGTATTAACTCTTGCTACTGCCTGTCAGAATAAGGGGTTGATGGCTCTCTTGGTTACCTAGTGACGGTGCTATGTGGCAGATTAGCTTCACCTGCCATCAGCAAGAGTTCAGAAGTGCATGTGGAGTGTGGATACTGGCAGACAGGGTAAACAAGCGCTCACTAAAGACAAGAGCCACAGCTGCAGCTGAGTGCAGCACTGGAAGGCTTCTCTGCATTCCCACACCTGGCAAAGCTCCCCTTGCTTTCAGTCTAAAGCTGGAGGGTTTCTTTTCTCCAAGGTTGTTTTTTTGTACTTTTTTATGGGTTTTTTTAAAGTTTGGTTTACTTCCCAGTTTATTCTTTTTAATGCTTTCCGTTGCTGCCTCCTGCTGAGATTAATGGCAACGTAAGAGCATGGATAACTGAGGATTCTTTTGACTACTGTTGCATCTAAGATCAGGCACATATTGCTGTTTACTTTCTGACATTGAAGTGGTGCATCAGAGCTCAGCTGCATGGTACTCGGTAGGTCACTGTCCCTGTATATTCTTCATGATCTGCAGAGCTGTTCAGCCTCCTTGTGAAGGGTTATAGTTTGGGCTCTGCATTTCACACGTGGAGCAAAGTTGTAAAAATAGCATTTCAGCCCATTTATATCCAAGAGAGGTTTACACTTAAAAAACCAGAAAGGACCAGAAAATAAGAATGACCACCATGGTTCAAACCACAGGTCTACGTAGCCAATATTATGTCTTCTGATATTCCAACAATCTTGTGGTTTTTCCATCATATTTCTTAGATTTCTAGCATTTGCGCAGAACAGGTTTTGCTCCTTTATTTCAGCATGTTTGGACAGCTATTGAAATATCTTCCTGGTTCTCCGTCTCTCATTTGATTAATTCTGCCCTCCTGACTTCTCCTTCTCTTGAAGGATGTTTGTCTCATTTTTTAATATGTTCACCACACAACTGCATGCCCATAGGCACCTGAAAGATTTGCCCATTCCTCAGCTAAAAGGTTATTCATAAACTTCTTGATTTTAAGCCACATCTACATTACTCTTCTTCACTGAGCAACCTGATCTAATGAAATATATCCCTGCCCATGGAAGGGAGGCTGGACTAGATAATATTTGACCATCCTTTCCAACCTGTATTGTTCTTAAATTCTATGATACAGACAATGTTCCTTCTATGTGAATAGGCTTCCTTTAGTCTGGAAATGTAAGCAATTCATAATGAGTTTTAAGCCTTATTGCATCTTCTCTGTCAAGAACCTGTTCCAAATTTCTGGAAAAAAAATCCATACACTTGTTTAAAAAACAGTTAAAATATCTTAATGCTGTTACCTTTAAAGTATCACAACTTTTCAACACAGTATGGTGTCTTCTTGGAAAGTGACTCAATGTTTACATTTAATAATCTGTTTTTAAACATGGAGATGAGGAAAGATATTTAATTTTGGATGGGCTACTTGTTGTACCTACCAGTATTTAAAAGAAAACTTAAAACATAAACAAACAGACAGGATATATGAAAACTGACAGCTGCCTTTAATTTGACAATACCCAGCTGTGGAACCACCTATAATAATGGGTATAAAAAAGAGATGTAGTGCTATTAAACAACCATACAAATGCTTGCTAAGATGACAGTCATGCCCAGCTGCCAATACCACTATGCAAAGATGCAAAGAAAACCAAGTTCTACTGGTCTCGCTGCTCACACAGTTTGTTTTTTCACTGCCTTTATACTAGAATTTCAGTAAATGAATCAGCTGACAGTCACAGGAACTGAGGACAGTTTTTAAAGGCCATACATTTTTAAAAGTGTCCAAAGATACTCTCTGTCCACATGATTCAAATGGACCTTAACATGTGCTTCACCACTTAAATATCACAAGAGGTTTTGAAAATTTAACAGCTAAGAAATCTAAGTACTGGGTACTTTCCAATACTTATGAAAATGAAGGGGTCAGTCAAATTTTTATTAGGTTTGATAAAGAACCTTCCGTATTATTTTTTTTAGTGCACTGCCTGTTCTGCAGTAAATTACACTATCAAATGCCCATTTGTCACAAAGTATTTATGAAGTTATGTAAACCTGTGTGAGAGCAAAGTTGTAACACGATGAAGACCTCCCTTGCTGGGAAATTCAGTGTGTTCCTTAGAACGGAGCCCTGCAAAAGCTGTTCCACTGGGGAACGAGGAGTCTAAGAAATGCAAGTTAGAGCTGACGGACACAGTTTGGAAATAATTAGCAGATTGACTTTCCATGATCAGCTAATTTTATTACCAGGTAAATTGTTTGCTTCTCATTGTATTTCACCACCCATGCATCTCTAATAACAAATAGCCTTAATAATTACAAGCGATACCTGCTGTGATATGAATAGAATGATGTGAACAGCAAAATTACTATAATCAATCATCAGTAACATGTTGTTTAAATTTGCAGAAATACAAGATATTCTGGGGACCACTGCACCACAAATACCAGACGATCG